GCTGAGATACCAACGCCAATGTAGTGTAGCTGGAAGACGCACGCACGCACGCACCCACACGCACACGCACACGCACACGCACACGGACACACTTATGCACATATCACCTGGCATCAAAAGGCCCGTTTTAAGCTGCGTCCGGGGTTAAAATACTGAGAATGTGAGCAGTCACGAACTCTCACTAATGCATCCGAATCAACACGCCAATTATCTCCGGCATAATTATCTTCAACGGGCGCCGTGCGGAGACGCGGCTCCTCATTGATTGACCGCTGACTGGCGGGTTTCGGCCTTGTGGCAAATTGCTTTTCAAAAAATGTGTCTTTGTCTCCTCGCATCGATTTCCAAGGAACAATGGGGGGGGAGTCAATAATAAATCTGAGGTTTTAGTGCCTCCAATTGAAATGGGTGCTGAGGCCCACAAAGAAGTGCTTCATTCCAGTGTTTCCTGCTTGGATCTTGCAAGGTCAGTTTCTGTTACATGATGTGAGCGTGTTTGAGGGTCGATGGCGCTCGATGCCAATCAGCGGGTCGCCGAGTTCCACCGGGCCGAGTTAACGTTGTCCAAATGTTTGTTTGTGGACTGTTTACGTGGGCTAATATACCCTCGCGCTCGAAGGAGTTTTCTACGCGCTCGCTGGTTTTCTTTCTGACAGTAAGGGGGCGGAGCCAGTCACCACGGTCTCTACACCTGATTGGTTACAAACCCCGTCTTTGGATTGGCTGGAGTGATGCGTTCACACAACCATTTCAGCACTAATGTAAGGGGATGGAAAGTCGAAATTATGAGATAAAACGTTGTCAAAAAACAAACGCCCCCCTACGGTAACCGTAGATGACAACCAGCTACAACCATCATTACCGGCACATTAAGACCAATGCGTCCAGCTCGCAGACCGGTCCGTCAGTCTGAATCTGAATCATATCTTGTTTATCACATTCACTACAACCTCAATATATTTTTTTTCAAAAAGTCGATCCGTATTGAAAGTTGGTAAGATTCACAGATTCTGACTTTTTTCCCGGTATTTTACAAATACGGCCCGGTCTGCGAGCTGGACGCATTTGGTCTTAATGTGCCGGTAATGATGGTAAATGATGGTTGTAGCTGGTTGTCATCTACGGTCCACTACGATCACCGAAGGGGGGCGTTTGTGTTTTGACAACGTTTTATCTCATAATTTCGACTTTCCATCCCCTTACATTAGTGCGGAAATGGGCTTCTATAGTTGTGTGAATGCATCGCTCCAGCCAATCCAAAGACGGGGTTTGTAACCAATCAGGTGTAGAGAACATGGTGACTGGCTCTGCCCCCTTACTGTCAAAAAGAAAAGCAGCGAGCGCGTAGAAAACACCTTTGAGCGCGAGCAGAGACCAACCTCGCGCGCGAGAAGTTCACGCTCCGCGAGCGAGCAAAAATCTCGCGCGAGATTCACTTTTGCTCGCGCGAGACTGAGCTTTGTCGGATAGTAAAAGACCCTGTTTGTGATGTAACACACGCAAGGCCCGGCGCTGAGAGGAGTTCTGTTGCCGGGTACTAAAGAGGAGGGAGGCGGCGAGGCAGGTGCTGCTGCCCGGGGGGGGGGGGGACAGTGGCCCACTTGTGGCTCTTTTGAGTGTCTCTCCACCTCCTCCCTCCCTCTCCACATTCACTTCACTTCACGTGTGCTCCTCCCCCCCACCGCCATCACAGAACAGTGTGTGAGCGGGACTTCCTCCTTCCTCCTCATCACCGGCCCGGACTGATCCGGGTGTTTGAGCATCCTCGAGAGTCTTTCACCGGTTCCTGGGCCGCGTGGTTTAAGTCGGATCAGAGCCCGAGCTGCTGCCAGCCACAACGTTAATGAACGCTCGGCCAGTGGAAGAGGAGACGCGACGAAGGAAAGGAAGCCAGAAGGACGGTAAATGAGTCGTGTGATTCTGTGCAGGCAGCAAATCGCTCCATGTGATTTGACTTTTCTTTCATTGGCCCTCTGTCGACGAGGCTCTCACGGACCTCCTCCCGGGGTCAGGGGGCTCCAGAGGAGGTGAACGGATCTTCAGTGCGGCTCACGTCTCTTTGCAGCCAAAAAACGTGTAAACCTCACATTTCAACCAGCGCGTAATCATCTTTTCCCTGTCCGAGGTGCTGCTTGACATTTAAGCATCGGCAAGTCGATATCACATTTATTTTGAGTATTAAGGGGAGGCCTGTGTGTAGTATATATTTTTTAAATTTGTATTTAATTGCCGACCTTCACACACTTCCTATAAACACACACTAACGATGACCTATCCACCATAATGCTGAATTTACTTGTGCATAAATAATACAATGTTAAAGAAAGGATTTGACATTTTGGGAGAATGTCAAACTATCGCTTTAAACGATGGCGGAACATTGTTTTGTCTTCAGCGTCTCACCCGAGCAGAACCCGACGAGCTGCGTGTGTTTTACGAGCCCTTCAGAAGCCTCCACCTGCTTCACAAACACCTCAATGTCACTGAACACCTTTCAGGGAGAAAAACACACACACACACACACACGGTTCGGGTGGACGATCATTCGTACGAGACACGGCGGCTACGGCAGAAGTGGAGAAGCTGTCCAACCAAAATCTGCCCTGAAGGTGGAGCAGGACAGGACAGAACTTTGACCCAGGAGGACGCTGTCCGGGTCCCGCGTGAGACCGTCTCACGCCGCTGTGAATGTTAAGTAATTAAGATAGAAATTACTGTCATCAACACATTGATTTGGCCACCCAGGTTGTGCAATTAAGGTCTCCGCCCGCCCCCCCCCCCCCACACACACACAGAGACACACACGCACACACAGACCCACACACACCCCGGCTGGATTGTGCTTCCACTTGAAGAGATTTGAAGGGCGTTGGTCGGTGAGGGGATATGTCAATTACCGGCGTGACATACAGAAAAGCACCGTCGTGAGTCCCCCCCTCCGCTCTCAAGCCGCCTTGGATCAAACGCTCGCTCATCTCCCCGCGGACAAGCGGCAAGCCATTGTCTTCTCATTGGTGGACACTGTTAATTGCGGGCCTCCGCTCGCTGCCTAGCAACAAAATCCGGGCAAAAGTTTTTTCAATTTTTTCCTTAAAGGGGGGGGGGGGGGGGCGGCGGCTCCGCCCGCCTGCGTCCCCGGAGTGATTGAAAGGTCACTTCACTCCTCGCCGTGTCTGACAGCACACAGATAGTCTTTTCTGAAAACACTGAAAACAATGTGTGCATGTTTGGGGGGGGGGGGGCAGTTTGGTGCTGGTTCATGGTACTAGTTCATGGTGCTGGTCCATGCTACTGGTCCATAGTACTGGACCATGGTACTGGTCCATGGTACTGGTTCTGGTCCATGGTGCTGGATCATGGTACTGGTCCATGGTACTGGATCATGGTGCTGGTTCATGGTGCTGGTCCATGGTGCTGGTTCATGGTGCTGGTCCATGGTACTGGTTCTGGTCCATGGTACTGATCCATAGTATACTCAGGCAGATGGAGATGAACACATCCTTGCTGATCGCGTGTAAAAGGCTTTTAAAGCGGCGACACATCGAGGTTTTCTGCTCTTGAACTTAAGGCCGTAGACGTTTATGTGTGTGCACATCACTCTCCAGTGCAGCGGATTATTGAGCAGTTAACATAAATGTGTGTCAGATTGAGCGATGGATGGAGGGGGGGGGGGATTGTAGAGCTGTGAATGGAATATACAAAATATAAGCAAGCAGAGACATGTCTTTAAATTAATGTTGCATGGTGAGTAAAGCGCAGACTTTTGAGACAGATGCCGCTGCCTGATACGATATGAGTAAGAATGAGACGACACATTTTCAACGGACATTAAAGGATTTAAACGCTGCAGTGGCGCACTCATTGTTACTGTAGAAATCAGGGTGTTCATTTAATCAAATGAAGAGGAAATAAATTGCATTTTTAGGCCTCAAAAATAGAAAACCATTAACAAAATGTTAACGTTTTTAAATAGTCAACTGTCAAAATGTAATCGATCATGGTTTACAAGTTGGATTTAAACAAACAATCCAGTGAAGTCAGTGGTTGCATTGATGCATGTGAATATTCACCGTGTGAAATCAATCCGTTCATTTGAGTTGCATCACTTTGATGGATCCTCTCACACGCTTCTTGTAATCTAGCGTGCGTTTCACTTCCTGTTCTTGGTTACTCTGAAAGCGGACTCAGCTTTCACAGAACGGGGGGGGGGGGGGGGGGGGTTCTGCGAATCCCCACCTGTGGTGACAACATGTGTGAGGCTGGTGGTGAGTAACACCCCCCCCCCCTTCACCGTCATCCGACCCAGCGGTGGCCACAGCTGCCCCGCGTGTTTGGATGAAACCTTTTGTGCTTTGACTAAACACGCAGGTTCAAGTGAACTTTCCTGCTGAGAATGGGGCCTTGAGAGGATATAGTTACATGCAACATGTTAAACACCCCCCCCCACACACACACACACACACACACACGAGAAACGTGTGCTGGTTTCTTACTGCGCCTCCAAAGGCAAAGAAGTCACTTTGTAAAAAGTGAGAAATACTTTGATGTGCAGAGAGACCACAGCTTCCATAGTGAGGACGTCGGCCGATATAATATACTAAATATCTTCTGGAACCAGTGGCTGGTTTGGTTAGCTTAGCATAAAAGACCCAGAAAGTTCTTACCCCCCCGGACAGTTACTCTTCTGTTCTCAGGAGAACAAAGAAACGGAACAGACAGAATGTGTTAAGTGTTAGTGGCCGTTGGAGGTGACAGTGTCCCAAGAAGTGTAACACACACACACACACTCACTCTAATTCCCTGAAATGACTCAGCGTCTCTATCAGCTTTAGAGAAAAGTCAGCCCCCCCAGGGAGGGCGTTACTTCATTACAGAGAAAGGAGTGTCCTCGCTCACTGACGATTCGTGAACTCTGTGTAGAATTTTTCGCTTAACGGTTTAACATACAAACGACGCTTTGAGCTTCCCAGAGACACACAAACGACACAGACTCTTAATGATTCACATTTAATGCCCTGGGCTTTATTGTCTTATTTTAGTGAGAGTTCAGTCACATTTTTTTTTTTTTTTTTAGTCTCTGCAGCCTCCAGGTGGGACAAGTAAACCTCAAGGATACATCCTGCCATTGGACCGGGCATTCAGATTGTGACAAAGACGAGAAGCACTACTAAGTAATGCTGCCTTTGTGCCTAAACTCTTCACAGAAGAGAGTACATAGAATTCCCCAAAGGAAGGCACCCAATACTTGTGGTTCTTTCGGCCTTGCAGCCGTCTGGAGAGTATTTTTTCAAAGAAAAAATGAAAATAAAAGACAAAAAGGGGAAGAGGAGAAAACTTTTTTTTTCCACCACCACCCCTCCGCCCCCCCATTAGCATTTTTTGTTAATAAAAATTGGAATGATGAAACACGTACAGCGATTACTGCCCATTCACCTCCCTTGTCGCCTATGCAAGTACAAGTAACAAATGAACCAAAGAAAGAAGTCTTTCAATTAACGAAAAGCTTACAATCAAGTTTACCACAAGAACAAGAAAAATAAAAACATTACAAAAATAACTGAATTTTTGTTTTACAAAAATGTTTGTGGGATAAAAACAAATATTTTGGGGACTTTGCTCGCATGAAATATGAAGAACAACCCCTTTAAAAACAAACGATACAAAAGCAGCATTAATATCTTTCAAAATCATGAACAAATAAAACCATCACAAAAAAATAGTGCTTTAGTCAGAAGCAGCAGTGGCTTCTGGGAAGAGACTTCACCCCTGTTTTGTTACTCGTGTTTGGGACGACGTTAACGGAAGCTCCCAGGAAAAGAGGCGCACCGGACACCTCATCCTCCTCCTCCTCCTCTTCCCGGTCTGCATGTGTGCCACCATTCATTTTCACCATATTCCATGATCCACAGAGAGAAGCACAGGGACCCAAAATAAACATGTGTGTGTGGGAGGGGGGGGGGGGGACCTGCTTTGTGTTCACACTATACAAAAATACCCAGGAGTCCGTAGCTACCTAACATTTACTACAGCACAGGAACCAACAAAAGGTACAGTGTACAAATAAAAAACAAAAAAAACCAAACAAATGAACTGTAAACACAGCACAATAAATAGATAAAAACAGCAGGCTCCGCACCATGCACATGTGATAAAACTCTTCTCTGTACAACTCGCACACCTCTCACACGCGCCACAAGTCACATGGCTTTCTCTTTTTTTCCTCCTGTAAGTTGGACTCCCAAGTGCAAAACATCACAAATGGACAGTTCTGTATTCAAGTAATATATATACAAGGGGGAGGGGGTATTACAAATATGTAGTTACTGTACAGATACTAATTTTACCATATTCATAATTTACAGATGTCAATCTTTTACTTAAAAAAAAAAAAAAAAAAGCTTTAAAAAGTATGAGAGATGAGAATCGTCCGTCCTCGTCCTGCTGTCCCTTCTGCATCCCCGATGCTACGATGCACAGCACCTAAAGAGTGGACCCTTCTCCGCCCTGCTACTACGTCACCTCCATGGCCACTGTGTTGTCTGCTATACTGTTCAGTGCTGGCTTGTCTTCGTCGTGATTATCCCTGTGGAGGAGAGAGAGAGAGACAATAACAATAACGCCATCTCCTTCTGCGTGTTGATTTAGCCGTGTGTGTCGGAGACGCCCGTGGAGGCCTTAGCTGTGTGTTGCCGTGGTTACAGTGTAAACTACTCCCAGCGATCCGAAACAAACGCCCCCCTCTGGGAGCCTCACCGTGAGCCCAGGTCCATGGACGACGCTCCGGACACTTTGGGCATCTGCAGGTTGGTGGTGGCCGACAGCTTTAAGGCAGAAGGTGGCACGTTGCCGAGGGGCCGGGGGACGTGGCGTCCGGCCGACGGCACGCTCAGACAGATGTTGTTCCCGAGGAGGACCTGAGTGGTGGCGGTGGGGGCGCTGGCGGCGCTGCATCCCAGGAACCCCAGCGCTGCCGCTGCGCTGGGGGTGGAGGTGAGGGAGGCGGGGACGGCGTTGGCGGGGGACGGGGTGGTCGAGTTGGAGGAGGGCTGGAGGAAAGTGGGGGCCGCCGAGGGGAGGGTGTTGGTGGTGTGCGTCGACTGGTTGGTCGGGTGAGGGGCCGCCATGCCGCCGGAGAGATGCAAGCCTTTGAAAACACCTGGTGGGGAGGGGGGGGGGCATGAAGACATGTTCAACACCACAGAATGAACGTCCGACACTTCTAGAAGGTAATGATGCTGCGCTCAGATCGTTTAGTGTGCTGGTAATGGTTTAATAACACCGTCCTCATGAAAAGGGGTTTTAATTTGGTCTCGTTCCCAATTCATAATTGTTATTAAAAAGGCTGGAGGGGGTCCATGAACACTAGAAATACGTCGCTTTCTGAGGAATGTAATCAACACTCAAAAGAAAGAAACCAGAACAAAATATTTGGCTGTAATTATAATAATGAGCGGCCCTCACCTGCACCTGCCAGGACCCCGTTGACTCCGCCTGCCAGCACCAGCTCCTCTTTGGACTTGAAGGCCAGCAGCTGGTCGGTGGTGATGAGCGCCGAGGCAGCAAACTGGGCGCTGGCCTGGTCCAGCGTCTTGGACGCGAGCGCCTGGACGGAAACCAGACACCGAACATCAGGCCCCGTCCAACAAAAAAACAGTCGCTCTGCTCAACATGTATGAAAACCGCAGTCAGCACTACTGCTGCCAGCCCACAGGAAGTGGGCCGGTGGATGAATACGGGCCCATTTCCCCTAGCTGGGGGGTGGACTGACCGTTATTTCCATAACAGGGGAAACTCGTTCCACACGGGGGGGGGGGCTTCACTGCGCGCCCACTGACCTGCGTGCTGGGAGGGGGGGCTGCCGGGGGGATGGCTTGTTGCTGCTGTTGGCTCTGCTGCTGCTGCTGCTGCTTCTGCATGAGCGCCAGCTGATCCTGGTGCTGCTGGTACTGCTCCGCCGTCAACACTGCGGACACAGAGGTCAAGGAGTCAGTCGCACTTTAATTGGCCCTCTTGTGGACCGTTTATCACGGCGGACATTGTGGCTGTGAGCAATAATCTATTGCTAGTATATCTAGTGCTTCAGTGAGCGAGCACACGTTAGAGCGCTGAAGTAGTAGCCAGTGTTTTCCGTAGAATAACGTTACAAACATGAACATGAAGCAGCACAAACAGCTCGCCGCCGACACCCAAGCAGGAAATTACAACGTGCCGGGATTAGAATTGTGTAGGAAACCAGAGCTACGGCCACTCACACCCCGCTTCCATCATCTGAAATAAGCCTCCGAGGGGCAAATATCCTTCACCAAATACAGACGTCAATAAAAAACAAGTGCTCTTCCATTCCTTACATTATATTAAAGACCGAAGGCCTTCGGCAGCAACAAAAAGATTACGCAATATATATATTCTCGCTGAATCTGATACATTAAAAACAAATTAAACCGGAGCAAATTCCATCAGATTAGGAAACCATGGGAGACGAGTAAAAGTCAGCTGTTTTAAATGCCAATGAATTCTTTCCTAGAAAATGATGTTTTGCACCATATCAGGAAAAGGAAGTTACACAGGGATTTAGGCCCGTCGCAATATGCGATAAAATGACATATCGCACACTCTGAAATCACGTGCAATCATTTCGCATTTTGCTCGCGCTGCCTCGGCCCCTTTTCTTTGTGGAAAGTGGGGGCGGGGCTTAGGCAGGCGCACACAGACACCGACAGGTGAAGAGAAGCAACACAAAAAACACAGAAAACAACCATCCGCCCGGTCTTTCAAACTGAACTACTGTCTGTTCCTCCGGACTGCTCGTTCGTCTCTTTGAACGCTGTCCTACCAGTTGTTGGCGCCACCGGGCTGCTTCGTCTCTCCCTGCGGCCGCAGAGCGCGTCGCCCTGCGGCCACCGGGCTGCTTCGTCTCTCCCTGCGGCCGCAGAGCGCGTCGCCCTGCCGGCGGTCGAAGCCCCGTGTTAAACCTCCCCAGGTTAAACGTCCCCGGCTGCCGCGGTGCGACCTTCCGCTGGACACATTTTTATGAACCCGTCCGCATCGCACCAAGCCCGATGCTTCGCCCGCTCCGTGTCCCTTGCACTTATTTTTTTGTTTTATTTTTATATAGGATATATTTTTTCACATTCCGATTCTAATGTGTAACTAAATAAAACGTACCTTGAAATAGCGTACTATTATTACTATATGCTATTATATTGTCATTATGTTATCAGTGGCATAAAAAGGTCTGATCACATATTGCAATAAATGTTGGTGCAATAATCGCACAACAAACATTTGATATCGTGACAGCCCTACAGGGATGTTGTTTGTCCATATGATTACAATCCAAATGAAATAATCCCATAATTGTTTGTTAGTTAACATTTTCTGAGCGCCCATTGTGGTAGAAATATTTACCAAATGACCCTTCGTAGAGCTACTTATACATTTAGACAAACACACTTCTAACCGACTGCATGACACACGTCCCACCACGCAGGCTACTGTTCGTACCACGCACACAATCCTCTTACTAATATTTGTAAACTAAATATCAAGCAATCTGACTGAGGGGATCAGTTCCACCAACATGCAACAGGTTAAAGACAAGCTACTAAATACAACGGAACCACTGCGGGTTAACTTTTATGGACGAGCGGTCTGAAGTCGTTCCCGTCCCCAGAGGAGGACAAGTCACCACGTGAAGAAGATGTTCCACAATGTGGCCCAGCACAAAGCAGCCACTGCCTCGAGCAGCCCAGTTCAGAGTCCATGGATGGGACGGGCCTCCAGCACCACCACGCATCAGATGGCGCTTGCAAAGTAAATGGCAACGCACAAATTATGTAAATAAATGGACAAGTAATGAAATCAATACAACACTAGTTTCTGATGAAAAAGTGTGCTAGCTTCAAATGAGATCCATATCAACTGCATCGCCTTAGCCTTATTCTACTAACCCATTGCATTAGCATTTCATTCCACTTTATTTTATTACTTGTGCACTGTTGTCTTGTCTGTCTACTGTCGCGCACTAATCGCCAAGACAAATTCCTTGTATGTTTGACATATTTTGGCTAATAAATGTTTCCTGATTCCTGACACGCGCAGGCAGGCAGCCCATGAGGGTCCATTTCATTGTCAACATTATTTGGTAAGGGAAAAAAAAAAAAGTGTCCCATTTTCATTTGAACAAAGCTTCACGTCGGGCTAAGCGGCGCCCTGATGGAGCAGGGATGGAGCAGTGCAGTGTGTATTAACTTTCTGCTATTTGTCGCTGCATCAATGCCAAAATCCCTCAAGAACAAAGTTAAGTTTGTGGTTCCTTCTCGCCACCTGCTGATTAAAGTGGATGAAAACACTCTTGATTGGTTGAATCCCTGTTGGCAGGAGCAACTTAAAAATGTCCTACAATAAATAAATAAAACAGTCAGACAAAGTGGCCTAATACGTGTTGGACAGCGCACCAGAAGAAAGTACCTAAACACTAAAATAATGTCATGATGCTCCGACTGAATTCAAATGCTTATAAACGCACCAAGGACCAACTGGCTTTGCTAAGTACTCCCAGAGCTTAAGTGTCAGCATCAGTAACACTGGAAAATGACAGCTTATCAAAACATTATTAAATTGGCTTCTTGTGCTGCAAACACTCAATACATAACGCAATAAAGTAGCAGAGCCAAGCGCGATGGGACCGATGCACACAGCCAAAGAAGCAGCACACGGGGCAGCACGGAGGAGGAGAACACGACTCACCGTGGACGGGGGCGGGGGCCGGACCGGTGCGGTTCTGGGAGCCGGCTCCTCCAGAGAGAGTTCGGGTTAGTCCTGACAGAGTCCGGCTGAAATCCCTAAATCCTCTGCGAGACAAGTCTCCTCCACCCGAGAGGTGACGGGATAGCGTCCGTGGTCTGAAGTGCCTCCAGCGGCAGCATTTAATGTTCAAAAGAATCTGGCTGAGGTCCACAGGTGTCGGCGACGAGGAGGGCGATGCGGAGGAGGGGGGGTGGGCGGAGCTGGCTGGGTCCGAGGTATTGGTTTCTGAGGTACTGGCGTTGGTGCTGCGGAGCGGGGAACGAGGAAGTGGTGAGGTGAGCGGTTCGGGCTCCGGGTCCGAGTCCAGGCAGATGCCGTCTAGATCCGTGTGCGCTCTGTCCAACAAGACCCTGAAACAAAAACAAAGAATAAGTCCCCACTGGTGAGCGATGTGAGGTGGGATCAAAGAAAAAACACGCCGCGTCATTACATCATCCTCTGGCTAAGACCGTAAGTAATGGACAAGTATAGTTGCCAGTGAATTTCTGGTTGAGGCCAATTACCAAACTTAGAAATCAGTTTCCATTTGCTGAAGAATCCAAACATCCCAGATCCAGTCTCCGAACTCACCTGCCCCCTCTGCCCACGCGGCGCCGTGCCAAACCTATGCAGCGCCTTGGCATGTTCAGTGAGGTCAGACAGTAGCGGAAGCGCGTGTCTCCGAGCCCACCCTCTGACGGGCCCACCCAGGGCCAGCTGCCACTCTGGTCCGGACGGGACTGGAGGAACGAGAGCAGAGAGAGATATTGGATAATACATTGCATTGTTTTTTTTCAGCAGGGAGTGGGAGACTAACAGCCAGACTAGCGGCTATAAATAGGAGCTGGAGAGTCACAGGAGGGCACTCACAGCGTAGTACTGACAGCCGGCCTTCCTCCTGAACGCGTAGCAGCCATCTGGGTCATTCTCCTCTTCTGCCTCAGAGGAGCCTGAATGGATCTGTACGACACACACAACGGAAACCAATAAGAAAGCGTCGACCACGGCCTTTTGTACAAATCACGTGCCAAAAGGTTTAGCTGCTTAAGAGCAGCGTTCCGTTTAACCTGAATGTGATCTGAGAGGAGAGCCCGTTACCTGTGAGAAGGGCTCCTCGTCCGAGCTGGGGAAATCGTACTGGTTGAGGTCCTTGGGATTGAACACGGAGGGCCCCGAATGTTGAGGCGCCGACAGGGGGGGGATCTTGGGTTTCTTTTCGTATTTCCTCTTGGTTCGCACCGCCTCCGTCTTCTCCGGCTGCGAGGAGTGGATTGAAAGCGGGCGTGAATCTTTATTCTATGTCATTTACAGAAAAGCATTTCCGCCGGCATCGTTGGTGGTGCAGGTACAGGTGGAGAGTATGTGTGTGTATAGAAAAAAAAGAGGCATTGATATGCAGATAGATGCGTGTGACAGATGCCGCCGCTGAGCCAGATGGCTGCCCCTTCCCTCCTCAATCCACCCCGTGCACCGCTCGCCCCGACTTCCCCACTGGGACGACCCCTCCTCGCCCGAACAGACTGCAACTCTACGAGGATTAGTCGGATCCCATTCAGCCCACAGACGCAGGGGACAAAGCAAACAGAGAGGCAGGGACCCTGCGGCGTAGAACTGCCGTGTCAAATCAGCGGAAGACGTGAGTGTTAGTGTGACGAGGGGAGGGGGCGAGTTAGACCCACCCTGCCCCCCAAAAAAAGAGGAAACAAAAGGGAAAAGTCAAACAGCTGGTAGAGCAAAAGGAAGTGCAAAAAGGGGGAAATGGTTTCCTCCCTGCAGAGGCTGTTGGACACTGGAGCTGATGACACAGAGTTCACACTCCTGCCGTGTGATGAAGTGCCACATTGTCAACGCATACGGCGACAGCCTTACATTAAATGCTCGGTTTGAAGGAGTCAGCACATACAGCACTGCGCCCTCCCGCCTCAATGAGCAGGCTTTTCTCCTGGCTGATGGCTTCCACAGAGCCCCGTGAAAACAACTCATAAGGAGTTTCATAAATTCATACCAGGTTGCCATTTTACAGCAAGTACTTCCGATGCCGAGATCTCCCTGCATGAGCCATCACGCGAAGCCAATAACCTTCTTTCACTGATCAGAGGAGGGAATCGTTGCTGAGAATGCAGGGCCTTACCTTCTTGTAGTCCTTCATGTCCATGTGGTCCTGGTGTCTGTACTGGGAGCTGTTGGAGGGGGGAATGATGGGGATGGTGTACACCGGCTTCACCAGAGCTCGCTGTGCTAGCGCCTCGGCCATCACCTCACTGCCGAAGTCGGGCATTCCATTCCTGAGGGACGCAGAAAAGGGTGGAGGAGACTGAGCCAACCTGGGGGGCTTATTTACACACCGACTGTATGGAGGGATTCATTTGAGGGTAAAATGAACGACTTCATAGAAACAGGTCCCAGACGTGTCAGTGCAGACTAAACGAAGGGCTTAAAGATGGAGACATGCTTTGAGACGCTGGCTTATTCTTTCCTCAGAACAACAACTTAAAAAGGGATTATTCAGGTGCTAATGGAAGGTCTCGTGTTTCTCCCGCTCACGATTTGAAAAACACCAACAATTACTCTATTAATCTTTAACCGACTTATCCCACATAACGTGTGTTCTGGCCTAAGCACTTAAAAATGAGTGGGTTAGGAAGCATCAACGGTGATATTCCGCAACATGATAGCTTGTAATGTAATGTAATGTAATAACTGCATATTTGAGAACAGCATACGGTGCTGACGTGGCTTTGTTATGTTACTCGTACACGCTATGCAGCACACCTGGGTCACGCCACGCGTTATATCATGAAGTGAATAGTGGTCTGTTCAGACCAGAGGGGGTCCAATCTGGGAGTGAACACTGGCGGTGATGCGCAGGCTGAAACAGCGCCGAGATAACCGGAGGAAATTGAAATGTCACTACAAATCAAAACCATTTGAAGGCGAAGGGTCCAATTTAAGCTCAAGCTGACAGCTGCATTCATGAGAAAATTCATTCCACTCGCACATCATGTTCAGACGGATCACAAAGGCTCCACGGAGGAAACAAAAGAAACCATTCACAGGGGCTCGAAGGAGAAAGGGGGTAAATGAAAACCCCAAACACACATCCTAGTGGACTTCTTCAGAGTCTGAGAAGTCCATAAGATAATTTGCTCAGAGTAATAAATGAAGCGGGGTGGACTGCATTAAAAACAGAAAACTGCACATGACGGTGGCCCCAATTAACACCAGCAGTGAAGCCTGACATAACAGAATAATATACAGAATATATCGGCTTTGCTCTTCACACTATCAATCGGGAGTCCTAATGGCCTCTCCTTTGGCTTTCGGGAGATAAACAATTAGTGTTAAAGACTGTCCGGAACCCATCCCGGAAATGGCTGCATGCCTAACAGGGTAGCTGAAGCACTGCTGCCAACCTCAACAGCCTCTGTGGGCCGATGGCTCTTACCTCTTCTCCACTATTTCCAGCGTGAGGTGCAGCAGTTCCCTCTTGCTCTTTTCTCGCCTCTTGATCATCTCCAGGATGGTGACGGCTCGGCTCAGGTCCCTGCGCAGCTTCAGCATCTTCTCATACGATGCCTCGTCGTTCTTTCGGTTCTGGAGGTGGAACAGCGAGCATTCACACACGATTCCCGTTTAGGCTGAAACTTGTCCCGCAATGGATAAAAACAGCACCTCCCTTTAAGATAAGAAAAGACAGTACACTGAGAAGGCGGCATTTGTCCTAACAGATCCCTACCTTCCTGGTCTGCATCTTCTCCGTCCGTCGGCGGAAGGCCACATAAGGGTCGCTGGTGCTGGAGCCGTCCCTCTTCTCCTGCTTGACGTTGGGGATGAGGGAGCCACCCTTGCTGACTTTCCTCTTGCGGCTCCAGTAGTCAAACACCTCCTTGATCAGCTCGTCGTCGTCCTTCAGCAGCAGTTTGGCCTCCTGGAGAGTGACGAGCTGTGGAGGACAGTCGGAGGTGCAGGAGGTCAGAGCGGCGGCGATGAATTCAACAAGTACTCGTGTTGCAGACAGCAGGGCACCGGCTACCTACGTCCAGAGGTGGAAAGGCAAAGCCACACGTGTGTTTGTGCAGAGGCCACGCAGATGGACAAATACCTGCTGTCCGCTGCCTTTCTCCAGCCGGTCGATCATTTCTTCAAACTGCAGGGCCGTGATTTCCATCTTCTTCTTCAGCTTATTCACAAACGTCTCGTCCTCGGAATCCAGGTCGTAGTCCGGCTGCTCCGTGTCCAGGCTGAAAGCTGTGAGACGGAGCAGAGTGGGTCACTTCACTCAAAAGGCATCGCTTCAGTTAATGCTGCTGCAGCCGGATGCTCGGTGCAAAATCATTCAATAGTGAGTCTTGTTTAATCATGTTGACCATGTGTTGGATTAGATATGTCAGACTGGGGAACTTAAATAAAAACAAGAACAAATGGGATCCACCACATTTAAGTCATGGTTTTTTGACTTCTCTCGATTCTCTCTACAACAATTCGGTCTCGATTCAGAAAAGTTAATAATCGGAATTAAAAAAATAAATAAAAAGTCTGTCTCGCGCGAGATATTTGCTCACTCACGGAGCGTAAACTTCCTCGCTCGCGAGGTTAGTCTCTGCTCGCGCTCGAAGGTGTTTTCTTGAAAGTTGGCAAGATATTCACAGATTTGGACTTTTTTCCGGTATTTTACAAATACGGACCGGTCTGAGACTAAGAGCAGCTTTTTGTTCATTTAAAAGAAAAATGAATCTGTTTAATTTTACATAGGCTACTTCCATATTGTGTTAAAATGCAAGCTGCATTGGTTCTTGCATTGTTGATAGAAAATAACATTTGTGACAAAGATTTTTTTTTCTCTTATAAAAAATTAGAGAAGGTAATTCATCTGTTGATTTTCTTTAATTATCAAATGAAGTAGGAAGTGATTAGCAACCTCTGAGTAGCAAACTCAGATGAGAAAATCGAGATGCATCGATAATCGTTTTATCAGTTTAGAATCGAATCGTTGACCTCTGAATCGGAATCGAATCGTGAGGTGCCAAGAGATTCCTAATGCTGAGTCAGTATTCAGCAGCGGTACGTTCCCAGCAGGCTGGAGGAAACAAGTCATTGGGTATGAAATGAAGATGCTTTTGTCTTCTGATAAAAATAAACAGTATTTCTTCATGACGGAGCAGAATGTTTGTTTTTGGGTCCGTGCCTCCCCCGACTGCATGAAGCAGTGCTGCAGGACAGACACCGGCATCCAGGCTGGGAACTTAACCAACCACTTAGTGCATACTGCCCGTGGCTCACTTCTGGCCACAATCCCAGGCTACGGCCTGGGACCTATTAGTCTAGCAAAATGCAAGAACTGGCAGTCTGTCGCAATCCTACGGAGACTAATGCACGAAAAAATATATTAAACAGCACACGTGTTTACTGCAGAGCCGCTATCGGGGCTGCAATGTGAATCACGCATTAAACTGTCAAAGTATGCAGCATTCCTTCTCACCGCCCAATAGTTAAAAGGTTAGAAAACTACCAACTACAGCGCTGCCTGGGCTTTACATTTCACTTATCCAAACACCGAACAAACTGCTCCGTTTATTCAAGGCCTCACTCTCCCCCACACAAAGGAACATCTATAATCATGTCACTGTAGGAACCAAAAACCCGCGACGCTTCAACACGTGCAGCACTTCCTTTTGGTTGCTCGATGTCATTTTGAATAGAGCATACCGACTTCAAGCCGAATCAGCGGCCTGCTGACCCTTAATTTGTATCCCCCATGGAGACCGCTGCCAACACTTTCAGACCTTTCTTCTGATTTCACACATGTCGACAGCCTCGGGGGACAACAACGATCTCGATGTGACGCACAGCGCGTGTCAGCACAAACGTACAGACGGGCCTTTCCCATTGCTGCGTGCCGCTTACCACACACGCTCCATGAATACAATCTGACATTCATCAGCTCATGATTCGACACGAGTCAGCCTGGACTGACGTTCACACTAACAACCAAACACACCACAAAATCCCAAACTCATGCACGCAACTCTCCCACTATGAGCTGCGTAAAACCCGCGGAAACAGTCGCACACCCCCCCGGGGCATCCGAGCGGCGACAACACTGCTCCGTGTTCACAGACACACTAATGCAGCTAAGAGGATAATCCGTGTGCTACTCACGCTGTATGTGAATAAGCTGCTTTGGCATCTTGAACTCCCCGGGGTAGAGGGACTCGTAGTGCGTGATGTTGCGCTCGGCCTCGGGGACGGGGATGACCATGTTGTCTCGCTTCTCGCCGTACACCTGCTGCGCCGAGATGGCGCGCTGGAGATGGTGCTCCTGGGAGGAGAGAAAGAAGAGGAGCTGGTTACAAAACACTGTCTGCAAGTTAGGGAGCTCTGCAGGTTGTCGGTTTCTCCCAGACGCACACGCCAACATCCACCACTAGGCATTCATTCATAATCTCTATGCATCCACTAACAAGCATACTGGGGTGTAGCTGGAACAAAAACCAACATGATTGATAGTTGGTGAAAGAATTCATCCATTGCACCATGAGTGCAACACATTACTTAATTATAGAACCTAAAACAGGATCTCAGTCTCTTTACAGCCACAAAACCAGCAGATATTCAAAAGGTACCGATGTCAACATGGGCTTGTTGTTGTTTTACAGTGTCTGTCCCGAAGCATTATTGGGAATTATAGCCTGTTAAAGGAGCGCAAAACATGCTGGCAATAACAAACAAAAAAGCCTTTTACCGAGTATCTTCCCGCGCTTTTTTCCTGCCATTTCTCAGCAGACTTCTCTACTTAATCTGTGGCCATTCGTCTTGGCTTGTATATCCAGGCAGAACGTACCATTTATTTTAGTATGCAGGAGCAGTGTTAGACAATGTACCTCAAGAGAAATGAGTCACAGGTGGAAAAGTGCTGAAGGATGTTTGGTCACATCAATCCCATCGGCGTACACAGACGTGGGATTCAGTCAGAGCGGCAGTATTTCAAAGCATGCAGTCGCTGGAAAAGACGTCATTTTGAGCCCAGCACAGATGTCCCACTGAACCAACAGTGACTCACTGTTTATTTGCTGCGTCTCCCAGTGAGAGAAAAGTCACACCGAGAAGAAACCCCTCCTAAAAGTTAAAAGATGCTGAGTCATGGGAGCAGATACGATATCTGCAAATGTCTGCAGCTGCAAATCTGGAACTTTAAAATTGTCAGCCTAAGGCAGGATGTTCGCAAATGAGTCCGTTTGACCTTTGAACTCACATTTGAGTTCACTCCAACTGACTGAGGTCAGTATTTTAACACGGCACCTACTCATTTTACACAATACACTTTTTTTCCTTCACATCTGAAGTTTCTCGGGTTGGATTTGGAGATCAAGGTCAGTGCTCAGGGGCTGGCGAACGGGACCATCAAGCAAACCGCGTAGGTGTACGGCTGATTTCCACCATGCGAGTGTGACCCGGCTCTACGCGGAGCACCAGAAGAACCACGTCAAGAGCCGAGCGCTGGCATGAAGGGACACAGCGTGTTGCCCGAGCTAAACCTGCCGTCCCTGGCGAGCTTATCAACACGCCGTTCGCTGTACACTTTCTCTACAACCGACACAAAGAGGGCGGCTTATTGTTGACCGCTGTCAGGTTATCCTTCAAGGCCTCGGTGACTAATGCGAAAGTGATCGCACGAGAGGATTGAGGCAACCTCCGTCACCCGCTGCAGGCTTATTGGTGGCTCGGAAGTGATGTGAGGATGTGAACTTGCATGCACTAATAACAACGTGCCTTCTAGTCACAAATCCCCAAAGAGGGAATTAAAACCACAGCTGAATTTGTCCCGTTCACACTAGCAAGTCACAGGTTTTGGGAGAAAAATAGAAGTGCCGTGTTGGCTTTCGAGAGCTGCCGAGCGTGCAGACAGTCCGGATAAGGTCCATGAAACTTTCGCACTGCGTTATTCACTGCCCACCAACGCTTGCAACAAGCCGCTAGATTCGTGTGATCCGACATTCAACAAGCCTTTGCTTAGCCACTCGACAGCGGTCGGTCTGAAACCACAGAATTTGTGGTGCTACAACAACATCACACACTGAACACACCGTTTACTTTGACAGCTGAGAATAAAATGTCTTTATGTGGAGCCACTGCCAGTCTTAGCCACCGGTTATCAACAAAAGCTGAGTCTCGAAATAGAGACATTAAACTGGACCTTTTGTTTGTAACATTTGGAAGATTGAGTAGTAAATTGAAATGTCTACATCTAAAGCTCTGATTATGCTCGATGACATTGTGTATAAAAAAAATAAAAAATAAAAAACATTCACACACACACCATTCTGCATCCGATCTGCCAAACCTTAAACTGTGGGTGGGAAAACCAGAGCCTCCAGAGGAAACACACTAGATGTCATGAAGTTCAAAACATAGAAGAAGTTCCCTCTGAACCGCCATGAACCTTCTCCTCGCCGTTACCCTGCTCTCAGCCGCGTGGCCGGTCTTCGACCTCGTGTAAACTTTCTGAACCGGTAAACCAGCACGCCGACTGATCCGTCCCGCCCAGTGACTTGTCAAACGCGTCCATGAAAAGCAGCCCTCCGTGACTCGCTGATGAACCCGGAGCTTTGCGAGTTGAGGAAGTTGCATTAGGGATGAGTGAAAGAACCAATTAAACCCCAGCTGGCTTCGCCTGTAGAGGATATCCAGCCGGGCCGACAAGAGATATCCTCATCTTATGCCGCTGTGATCCTCACAACCGAGGTTCACAACCTGGGATTTCCTCTGCCGAAGAAAATGGGGCGAGGGGATAAAGGGCTTTCGAGACTGGCACATGGGAAAAGTAGACAGGGTATTTATAGGACCTCTTGCAACTGTCTGTTTTCACATTCCACTACTGGAGGTTGGTATCTGGCCTGTTTCTGAATGTTTGCCAAAAGGTATTTCACAAATAAAACAGCCACGGGGCCACAGGTCTAGAGAGCAGAGTCTGGCTGCTAAATGCCCCGCGTCTCCCCGCGGAAAATATCAAAACCTGATATTCTCTTGTGAAAGTGCCGCTTTCTGATGATGGAAAGACACACATGAAAAGATATTTTTCCCCACGTGTTCCCTCCCATTAAATGTTCCCGGAAAAATAAAAGAAATAGACTACTTCAACAAAAGTTGCCATGGAAACAAAAGTGTGGCCTCCAGCAGGTGTTTTCAGCTCATGAGGGAGGGAGATTTGGTCAAAGGCGATCTGCTAAGTGAATCGAGGCGCACACCCCCATCTAATAAAAGTCACAGCAATATATGCAACAAAAAACAAACATAGCCTCTAATAACCCACCAGAATGATATGATCCAAGAAGCAAAGCGTGCAACACAGTTGTTGCAGAAGAGCTGTACTCCTCTAATGAGGGTGTGTGCCTTCAAAAAGCTTGTGTGATAATTGTGGCAACTTCGGTCTACTTCTCTACGGCACCCCGACCTGCACACACACTCTCCCCCTCATTACCAAAGAACGCAGCCTGTGCATAATTGAGAGAACTCGAGCAAAACAGAATTCATCTTTGCAATCCATTATGCAGACCACGTACTTCGTTACGATCTCCCATGTTTGTTTCTTCTGGTGTCCTTCCCGCATTGCAAACCGCGAGGCTTTAATGAGAGAGCCATTGTCTATTTGACCCTTGCGAGCGGGATTTGATTAATCCGCACCATCAGTGCAAATGTAACAATCACAGACTCGCTGATTAGGCGACGGGACACGACGCTGCTGCAGGCCACCGTCGTGGTTATGGCAGTTACCACTGCACCGCTTCGTCAAACTGCAATACAGCACTGGAAGTTAAAACATGACAGCACCGTCCGACCCGCCTCGTCCTGTGAGGTCTGTTGAAAGCCAAAGGGGAGCAGAGCAGTGGAATTGTTTTATGCGGCGCAGGGCACAGATTATTAATGAATTAAGTAAAATGCTTCCAGTGGAAATGGTGCACAAATTATAATAAATTAAATTTTAAGTTGAATTATTCCTGTCAGGGTTGAGGCTGTGAATGTCGATGAGGCAAAAAGGCACTTATTTTAGCGCTTTAAATGAACCAAAACAAAAAAGTCCATCAGCTTCGGCTCTTCATCCCTCCAGATGTGGTCTTCCTATCATCAAACTGCCACCATAAGGACGACCTGGGCTACGAAAACGTCTCCCTTGGTGTGTGTCAAACCCCTCGTCAACATCATGGCGCGTGCTTATTCGCTCCTAAAAAGGACAAAATCCTCGGGTCAGCGTGTGGTCACACAGAGAGGCTGTTGCCAGCAGGATGTGGGTCAGGGAGCTGAGCTACGCACAGCCTTGTAGTAAAACTGTCCCCTTTATCTCTAGCGTCACTCTGTTATGTAATGCCGCTCTGTGTGTGTGTGTGTGTGTGTGTGTGTACAGTAGGTGAGGGAGGGGGTCTGCTTACTCCCCAGGGCCTCGGTGTGCATTCCCTAGTGTGTGTGGCGTAGACTGGCTCTGCTGATGATAACACGCCGGACAGTAACGCTCTCTGTCCATCGACCCCCGTGACATTCTGCCGCCCACAACCAACTAACGCATCTAAAAGCAACTCAAGGTGTCAACTGTGTGAACCCACGTGGTCTGATCCGGCGCCAACTTGACAAGCCGCCGTTCCGTGACGTCACAGCCCGGCGACAGACACCGCGCGAACCGCTTCTACGGTTAAAACAACCTGCAGCACGCGAGTAAACAACCCGGGATGAGGAAGTTCAACACTCACACAAAATCCTCTGTAGACCCTAATGACAATCCAAGCATCCATTAGGCATTTGTTAGAAACTACACAGCTTAGTCCCTCTGAAGTCATATTTAGCTGTTGTTGCATCTGTATGCCCCCCACCGCAAGTTGTCCTTAACAAATAACGTTACACTCTTTAAACATGGCCAAGACAATCCCGGTGGCACGCTGACAGACAGGGATGATGTAACAAGAGGAGGATGTGTAAGTATATGCAAGTATTTTTCACTGCAAAACTGGCGACAGCAAGTGCGAACAGTGTGCAGCACACATGGCGGAGCCGGAGCTGTCAACACGCAACACCTAGCTGTCAAACCGGGCCGGGCGGGGCGGACTCGCTGTCTCCCCCTGGCACCCGCGCGCGGAAAGTGCACCACGTCCGAGGCCTGTTCCCGCTTGCCTTTTACCAAAGAGAAAGTCAACAAAATGGTGGAACAGATGCAAGTCACGTGACTTCTTTGTGTTTTCGGCGGCGGTTTCTGGCCGAACGGCCCGACACAACACGGCCCGCGAATTGAATATCGACCCGCCGCCGCCTCAAGACGGCCGCCCCGGTGGAGCCGGGTCGTAATACCGGGTATTCGTCGAGTTCCGTCGTGTGCGCGAAAAAAAAAAAGAGGAGCAGATATGGCGGCCATTTTGCCCAAGCTTGCGCAGGCAACATAGCGGCGCCCCCTCGGTGTGAAAACACGGCCGAAGCGAGCCGCCATCGGCCGGGCAGCAATGAAAGAACATACCGATTCCTCCTCTTTCTCCATGCCGGTCGGCATCTGCGGCACCGCCCGGTTGATCGAGGCATATTCATGCAGGTCTGGCAAATCCTCGCAGCGGAAGACGGGCAGAGGCTTACTAGCATCCAGCGCCCGCGCCCGAAACGACAATTTACTCATGTTTTTTTTTTTTATATTAAAAGATGCAGCATAAATCTATTCGATCTGCTAGGAATAACAGCCGGTCTGCTTCGAGTTCTCATGGATGAATCTGGCGACGGTCAGCCGGTCAATGGAGAGCAGGCTCACGGGTCCGTAGCAGCGCGAACAGAGCCGGGGCAGGCCCGGGTCTCGGTCGCTCTCCGTCGGTCTCTTTTCTCCGTAGGCTCCGCTGTTCCTCCCCGGTTCAATACGCCATGGCCAACATGGCGGACATTACAAACTCATGCAGCTCTCCGCTCGCTCCGAGCGGCCCAACCCCCTCGATCGCGCGAACAGCCATTCCCACGCAGTTTCGCGCGCGTGCGCGTTCGCGACACCCTTAGGGTAGCGGGTGAGGAGGGGGGGAGTGAGTGAGTGAGTACCGGGAAGGGTGCTGATGAAAGGATGTGAACTTCCCAGGTTCGGGATGTTGTCTTTTTTCGATCTTTTTTTTATGACTGGATGATGCTGACGAACGGGGGAAAAAAAGTATTAATCTATGTAAAAAATAAATAAATCTGTAGAAATAGAAAAAATAAAAACGGCAGACGTGTTTGTTAGCTCGGGTTTCGGGGTCAAATACCGTATTAGATATTTGTTTTAAATTTGTTTTAACTTTTGAATGACACTTTCAAACGTGTGTCGTTTGTTAGAATTAACGTGCAACCAAAAAAAGGGCACCTGTTCTGCCTGTCAGATTCAATTATTTTGCAAATGGCGCCCCCTTATGGGACAATCTCTTAAAAAACTACCAGTGAACTATTTGTTCATGCCTTCGTGCAGGAGATGTGTAAATAGTCCAAACAGTGGAATCCTCACAACTCTGCTGTCGCCTTTGCTATCAATATACATGTAATTCATTAAACTGTCAGTACACAGCAACTAAAAACCTGTTCATTAAATAGTTGGGCAATAATTACCAATTTAGTAAAGCTATGCAAGGTTTTAATTGCATTGAGTCGATCCTTTAATTAATTAATGAATTCTTCAACTTAAGCAGTAATCATTCCTAACAGAAAACTATGGTACGCTTACATAAATTGATAAAACTACAACTGCAAAAGCTTCACAGATGCGACAAGACTGAAAATACAGAACTTGAACTAGTCTTTTACGTTGACTTTGACCTTGTCTTTAAAAAGAACACAGTCAAGCACTCTTTACACAACATTACTGTCAGTTTTCACAATGTGTCCAGCCATAAGCATATAATGGCCACAACGGAAGTAAGGGTAGATCCATGGATTCAAGTAATCCCATCACATGGCAACAAAGGTTTGATGTGTGCGAGTAAGATGTGGCCCAAAAGAGTGGCAAGCATAAAGAAGGGATTCCCCCGACATACGGTCCACCAACACCATGAATAAGTATATTCATCCTAGAAATATCTGCATTATCAGGCTTTACTCTTAACTTTGTGCATACCCGTCAACACAGTCTGATAGGATGTAAAGTAAAGAAAAGTTCGACCTCATAAATGCCAAACAGCAAATTAAATCGCTCAAATACCAATTTACTGCATATGCGTTGGGAAATCAGACGCTTGCAGACCTTTTAGCGATGGGGCCCTGATCTACATGATATGTAAAAACTTTACACACACTTTATAGTCATAGTGAGAAAGATAAAGAATTGCAAACCACCTGAAGGCATTGGCGAGAACTCCCGCAGGCATGAGTGCATCATAGAGATGTGGAAGGCAATCGTCATCCATCCGGGAGGCTCACGGCTGCGGACCATAACGGAGACCTGTGAAACAGAGTCACCATAAAGACAGACAAGTAGAACAAACGCACGTGATTGATATGATCCATTGGATGCACCGTGTCTAAGCAAATACTGCCATATCATACATGTTCTTCTCTGCTGGGCTTCCATTATGCTCATAATCTGACATGTGTGGGATCACTAGGCAGAGAAAATATGGAGCAAGATGACAATTACCTACAAACACACACAGGCATTCTGAACTGCGCACACACTCACACGCATTGCTTTAATCAATTCAAACGACAGTATGGATTACCCCAGAATGCTATTGCCTTCACGCTGTTTGCAATAGTCCAGATCAAGTTGTGTTGCAATATCACAGGTTGCACATCAATGTGTCGAAGAGTACAGGGTGTAAAATAAACAGGAGACGACAGGCAATAAAAAAAAAAAAAAGAGACACAAATCGTACTACGTTCACGACAACTAACAAGGCTCGGAGGGGATTACGAAGCCGCTTCCAGCGGGGTTTGTATTTCCCCTCGAGCCCGCATATCAGAAACAGCTGTTGGCTCTGCACGGGGAGGCTAGGCGACACAATGCTAGCTAGCTGACACAATGCTAACGCTAGCTTAGCGCGGCTACCCCGACTGACCCTGCGCCATTCACTGAGCCCGGCTAACAGTTTGCGGACAGCCTGGCATTAGTTTCGTATGAGCTGGCGACTAACTTGTCCGCAATCGAAAGGCGCCATTCTCGATTCCCGCAAGGACAACGAGGTGGGGGGGAACTAGGTCGAGCCCGAGTGGTAACTTACCTGCTGCTAGCAAAGCCACAGGGGAGAAGGAGGAGGAGGAGGATGATGGCAGTCCCTCTTCTGGGTGTCATGCTAGCCCAATGCTAACGCTGGTTAGCTCCCTTCGGGGCGCCTCGGAGGAAAAACGAGTTGAAATGTTCTAATCTCAGAAAGTGCGGCGAGGTCACCGTGAGGGGACGCTGAGAAAAAACAAACGCCAGGGCGGAGAAAGTGCTCTCCCGTCGCCGACGGTAAACTTGGATAGTTACCCAGCGTTACTTCGACCAGTCGGGGGGGGCAGGGGGGGGAGTAAAAAAAAAAAAAAGAAAAGATCCAAACTGACCACCGAGGCACTTTGCAGCGCGTTGTGATTGGACGTGATGCCACCAATCACCTGTGGAGAGCGCGAGGAGGACGAGCTCACTGCTACTCCCGCCCCACCTTTTGATGGACACAACAACAGTCATCATAATAATGTGTGTGTGTGTGTGTGTGTGTGTGTGTGTGTGTGTGTGTGTGCGTGTGTTTTCTAAAAGCCACGCACAACAAGTGACAAGACGCAACAGCTACTCTGTGTTTGCAGTAGCCTATTTGTTATGTCACCGTATTCACTCCCCCTTCTTTCACCCTCCTCCTCCCCCTCCTCCTCCTCCTCCTCCCCATCTCCGCCGCTTCGCGTCGGCTGGCCCTCCAGAAGCTATTTGCACCCCACGTTCCTCACGATCCGACACAGATGAAAGAGAATGCCGCATAGTGGAAGCACACGGAGTCACTTTCTCTGATCCGCCGCCACCACCTGGCTGTTAGAGCTGCCCTGTGAGGAGGCATCGACACCATTAATATCGCTTTGCTCAAACTCTCCCAGCAAGCTCATCAGCAGCCATCTGTAGGCGGGGGGGAAAAAAACACAATTGCCCTAATATACATTTAAATGTGAACATGGCAAAGTAGCTGGCGCAGACACTGGCTGCTCTATTACAGCTGTACAGTACATTACATTACCGAGCAGGTCTATTTGCAGGTTTTCAGTTATAATACAACGGTTGGGTTTGCATGTCGGGTGTCCAAAATAGCGCCTCCTCTGAGCTGTAAATGATTGTGAATCTGCTTCATCATTTCCAGCAGGGTGCCAAGTACTTCCCCTCGCAACTAGAGGGCAGTGGAGACCCATGTGAAGGCACACGCCTCCGCTGACATCACAGTGCACAATGCAGAGCTCCAGCCTCGCTCTCTCTCTGCTTTCAGAGACCCAAGTTACACAGCAGAGTCAGGCGTCGGCATACAGGGGGAGACTTTCCTTGCAAAATATGGCTCTACACGAAATCAGCTTCTGTGAATGTAATGTGAATAATATATTGTATAATAATAGTAAGACACTAACTTTGCATGCATCCAACAGACAGCCCAGCTTGCAGAAGAAGCAGTTTATGTATGGGCTGTTTGAATTCTTGAGCGTGCAGAGCGTGCTGGGGTCAGAGGCTGCATCTTATGCTCAAAAGGAAAGTAACCTGACATCAACACCCGCCCCCACCCCCCAACACACACACACACACACACACACACACATGCACACACGCTGGGAGGATGCTGTTCCGTTGTGCTTCACGACAGGGATCCCGATTGAAAAGTAGATCTGTTTCCACGGCTGCTATTACTGTTCTTCACATTTGCGGTCCACAGTTGTGCTTCATATGCCGCTCTTTGTTCCTTTGGCAAGAAAGTGGAACCCACATAATTCTTCCTCCTTCATTCTGGGGCTAATTGCAATGATAATTTGAAGTTCTTGGTGATCAAACCTGATTATTTAGCTTCTGGGGTTATTAGGACATGTTGCGCATACAATGCTGCATCTTCCCTTTTTTTTTTTTTTTTATAAACTCCCTCTTGTGCCTTTCTGTAGCTGTGATTGTAGTTTCCTGTCCCTTTGAACCACGTTTAGCGGCATGCTTTTGTTCTGCCTTGTTATTGTCACTGTGTCCCACTGTGTCCCTGCAGCAATGTCACAGAGACAAATTCCTGCATTTATCGTCCCCCCCCTCTGATTGACAGGCCCTGTCAGAAGGGTTCGTTTGAGGAGGGCTCGCCCTGCTCCAACTCTCACTGCAAGCGGGCAAAACTCCCCCCGGGAATGGATGCTGGTGTGTAGTTTCCATGGCAGCAACAAAGCCACACCCGGCACCACAACAGAGGCAGATAGCGCCGCAGTGACGGAGATCACGTTCGGGGGCCGATGGGCGTCCCTGGGGGGCAGGAGATGCCGGGGCACTTTGTCAGACCCACGTTGCCCATATTTATTCAACAAAAAATGAATTTCGAATTAAACCACAATGGTTCTTCAACATCAGGGGGGCAAGTGCCACCAGCGTAAAGTGGCTTTTTGCATACTGGATTAAAACATACAGACCAGTTTACTCTGCACATGACACATGTCAAAATGGAGTGGAATAATATCTACCTGAGCAGAGATTGAAGCCTCTCTTTCCTCTGTGTGCGTTGTATAAGCTTCTCCTTCCTTTTTGGATTAAGTCGGTCCGGCCGTGTGTGCTTTTAAAGAATGTTCATGCACATAAGCCCATCAGGATGTGTCACAGCTGATAATGCCATCCTCACCGTCGGGGATCAGACTCTTCTTTCTGTCCAGTCCTCAGGAGGGAGTGTACTCTGCAGCCCGCTGTGTCCGTACGGATGTGAAGGTCTGGAGAGAGGGACGCACTGTTGCTAAGACACCAGGATGACCTTCCGGAGTGAGGGTCAGGTGGGGACACCTCGTCTCGCGGTCCAGA